GTCTGTTACAGTTTTCTTGGTCTGAATTTTGATTAAACCGCCTTTACTGTAATCCAGCAACGATGGGGGGCACAATCCAGTGTACTTCTATAATCGCTAGCAGCTCATACTGGTGTGTTAGCATTAGCATCAAGTGTCTGGCAACTGCAGACAGCAGCTAGCTCCGGCTACAGCTAGCTAGCACTGAACAAAGAGGAGACCAAAACGGACATTAACACGAAGCAATCGCTTCGTGTTAATGTCCGTATAGATAGTGGCTACAGCTAATTAGCGGTTAACCGTCTAGAGACTGGGCTCAATACATTCACTAGCCGCAATGGGAGATCGAGACGAGTGTTAATACCGAGCAGTGATGGCCTAACAGGTGCTGTTCCTTGGCGGAGCCAGGGGGTTAGCCCCGGCTAACCGAAGCCAGCGAGTTGGCACAGGCTAGAGCTAATTGGGGCTACATGGATGTAGCTGCTGTCAAAGCCATCACTGTTTGGTCTTACTAGTCATCCGCTGCTACATTTTTCGTAGTCCAAGTTCGAGACGAGTATTAATACCACTCGCTATAATCGGAGACGGACGCTGGTATTTAAACCAGGCAAAACGGCCCCTACAGCAGCAGCTGGTTAGCTTAGGCTCCAATTAGCTGTAGCCGGTGCTAAACCGCTGGCTAAATTCACCGTACTCTTAGACCGACACTTTAAACGCATCAAAACAGCGCAATGACGAACCCGACAGCAGCTAGATCCAGGTAGCTACAGCTAACTAGCACTTAACCGTCTCACTACCTTGACTTACAGGTGCATCGGAGATGATCCATACAGGTACTGCTAGTATCCATTTAGTCATTGGCCACAATGGATTCTTCCAGAAAGTTAAACGAGAAAGTAATCGCTAGCAGCTCATACTGGTGCGTTAGCATTAGTATCAGATGTCTGACAATATGACCGAGCCCTCGCGTAACACGTCGGCAGCAGCTAGCTCCGGCTACAGCTAACTAGCACTGAACAAAGCGGAGCCCAACAAGGATAATAACACGAAGCAATCGGGGTCGTATAAATGGTAGCTACATTTTTCGTAATCTGAGACGGACGCTGGTATTTAAACCAGGCAAAAACGGCCCCTACAGCAGCAGCTGGTTAGCTTAGGCTCAAATTAGCTGTAGCCGGTGCTAATGGATTCTTCCAGAAAGTTAAACGAGAAAAGAAACCCGAGGAAATTGATACGTCGTTTAATGTAATGTATGGCAAACTGGCATATTTGTGAGGGCTTTAAACGACATCACGTAAAAATAACTGAAACAACCAAAACATTTTTTTTTCGTTGCCACTTAAGCTTGACAGTAAAAGTGTTAAATGTAAAGGATATAGATAAATATAACGAAGCTGTTGCTGTCACCTGAAACCCCTTTAACAGTGTTTTCACTGATGGATGGGAGTGGCACAGATATTCACTAGTATCAATTCAAGTCATAGAGTTAATTTCCCCTCAAAATGAGACTTGCAAGCACACAAACAAGATCACTAAAATCTTTCATAGATGTTATGTTTCCATATGATGAAGTCAGTCTGTGATTCAATGAGGTCAAGCTGCTAACTGCATGCGAGCTGTTTCTGACAATATCGCAATAAATGTTATAAATCACCAAAAATCCTAAATGTAACTTTCTGTCTATTCTATTTGGCCTTTGCACACTTCCTGTTCTATAATAATATAAACAGAATACAACCAGCTGGCAACCAGTTGAGTCAAGTGTCCTCAAGTTGTGCTCATTGACAAAGACTGACGACATCATATTGGAAATCTGCCTGCATTTATAAGCGTAATTTTTTGACATCATAGTATTTTATTCTGTCTTGTATAGTATGTTATTCTTTTCATCTTATTATGTTCCATTGGTTTTCCTAATTTCAACAATCTTTCTGAGAGTGTCTGCGTCAGAAAAAGTCCAAGCTGTTACAGTTTGCAGAAAGGCTGCCTCCTATCAGGCGAGATGAGTATTGCCACAGAATTATATTACTCATGAAAATGAGCAACATCATGAACAAAGTGACGCAGATCATGTAAATATTAATTGTAACTGCGGTTTCCATTTTGTGCCATAAACTGATGATATATTTTGTTTTAAAAAAAACTAACAAAAAACAAACAGTTAAAACCGTTAAACTCACAACTGAACTCTGAACATCACACTGCTGGAATAAAAAAAAATCTATATTAACTGATCCAGTGTAAGCCCAGGTTTCACGCATGTGTTTCTCTCTGAAAACAACATGTTAGTTCAGATCAGTGAATAAAGCAAAACCAATATGCTTTGGATATCAGGAAATAGTCTAACACACTAACACAGACTAATTAAAAACTGCTTTTCTTCAGACATGTGATTTTATTCGTTACAGATTAGGCAGAAAGAAGTCAGTGTTTGTGCAAAGCTTACATGAATGAATTGAGCAGAGCTTTCAGTTGTGCTTTACATCATCAGAGTTACTGAGGAAGATGAATTTGTTTGTCTCGACTCAGTGTGAGGACTCTGCAGCGGCAGCTTTGAGTCATAAGTAAATTACAGGTTAGACACTTGATCCTGTTAGCTTGAAAAAAGCTGAATGCTGCTGTAGATATTACTCAACAACGTTTTCTTTAAAAATTCAAATCTTATTTTTCACACGTTATTCTCGTTGTTTGCTGTCGCAGTTTAAACACAGAGTCGTTCAGAGTCTCCGAGCAACGCTCTTCCTTAGCAATCCTCCCAAACACTACCTTGAGTACAAAATTGCGTTTTTATTTTAAAAAACAACAACAACAGAAACAGCCGTTAGGAAAAGGCACACGCCCTTTCCGTGTTGCTAACACGGCCTGCTAGCTGTGGGGTAGGATTAGCTCAGTAACAT